AAAATTTAAACTTTTGTTGCCATTTTACCAAATGCGACATCTATGATTAGGAGTTCATCAGGTAGGCAAGATGGAAGGGGAGGTAGTCCAGGCGAAGGAAATAGCAAGTACAAAGACAAGGAGGTGTAGCACAAAAGTGTGTTTAGGGAGCTGTGAGTATGCATAGTGCACAGAGTTCAAGGAGGGAGTAGCAGGTGATGATGTTGGAAAAGTAGGCAGGGAGCAGACCATGGGGAGCCTGTTGCCACACTGAAATGTGAGGATAGGGAGTCATTTGAAGGGTTTTTAGCAGGAGAGTACTGATGAGACCTGTGCTTTTGAAAGATTTTTCTGGAAGCAGAAGGTAGGGATACAAGTTAGATGGCAAAGGGACAAAGGAGGATGGCAAGATACAATAGGGATTATGAACACAGACTTTGGTGTCACACTGGCCTGGGTACAATACAGGTTGTGACCTAAGGTAAGTTTTTTTTTTTTTTTAACCTCTTTGAGCTTCAGTGTTCTTGTTTGTGTAAAGAGGATGTTAATAACGCCTAGCTCGTTGAGTTATTATGAGGATTAAATTACAATTCATATAAAACACTTATTGATGTTGAGATGTAGTTAGAGCATAATAAGCAAAATAAGAGGAAAAAAAAAAAGAATTCCAATTAAGACATTTCTCCTTCTTGTAGTAGCCCCTTTTGCCTTTATTCTTTGTGTTACTTGAGAGTTCTCATGAATTTAGCCCGCTGAACCTTTCTCAAATGGATTTCTGTTTGAATTCTCAGCAGAGTCTGGAAAATCCAAACCCTGAGCAGCAGCTCAGCTTTCCTGAATGATTACCCCAGGGCCCATTACCTTCACTCTGTCTGCTAATCAGGTTAGGATCCCAACCCACCCAGGAGAGGAGGTGGGACAGCTGCAGGCATCAGATGAATTCTCCTGACAGTTTGTAATCAAATCTGGTGGAGACGGCAGGCTCTGAGAGTCAGGTTGCTGAACTTGGCTAGAAGAGCAGAAAACTGGGGTGACTGAATTTAAAGCATGCACCCTGATGGAATATACTAGTAAATGAAGAGTTGAAAATATCAATGTCACAGCCTAAGAGGCCTTAAGACTATGGGAATCACCTGTGTGTAAAGACATGCTCACTGTGGATTCCAGGAGACTCAGACCTGAGTCAGGGCCGGGAGGGACTATCACAAACCAGAAGCTGGAGTCCTCAAGACCATGTTCACTGGCGTTGTCCCTGAAACTGGAACCCTGATACTAGCTTTTTCCACCAGCGTCACATTTCTGCATCTTCAGTCACATCACAAATATAGAACTCTATCTTTTCTCTCTATACCCTCATCTCTGCACTATTTTGCTCCTCTCTCTCTAAGCTTGGCTGCACACCGCTCTCTTCTCTCTCCAAAGCTGTCCACTTTCCATTTTTCCTCTCCAACTCAGCTGCATGGTTAATAATGTCATTTGGATTCTCAATCTTAGTCGATCTCTTCCTTTACTGCTTGTCTTAACCAAACTATGCTTGATACATGATACTTAACAAATATTTGTTGAATAAAACGATGAACTGAGGCCTGACTCTCCTGGGCAACACTGTTTCTCAAGAACTGCTTATTCTCCTATATCCCATGTGCAGAAAGATCAAGAGGGGCCAACTTTCCTCCACGCTACCCATAACACTTCCAGGCCATTATTTCTCTACTTCCTCACTGATAGCTCCAGAATTTCAATATAAGAAGGTTTGGGGTGGCAATCTTGTTGGAAGGAGAAGTGCCTAGGGAATTTGTCCTAAAGCTATATTTGCATTACAAGAAGATTGTTGTTGCTTATGTATTTATTCCATGTGGCTTTAGGAGTTGTTGTTGTGTGCCCTCAAGTGGATTCTGACTCAAAGCAACCCTATAGGGCAGAGTAGAACTTCCCTGTAGGGTTTCCTAGGCTGTAAATATTTGGGGGAGAAGATTGCCAGACTTTTTCACATGTGGAGCTGCTGAATAGGGTTTAACCACCCACCTTTCTGTTAACAGCCAAGCTCTTTAACCGTTGTGAGTTTCTTTGGGAGTAGGAGGCTAATGGAATCTATTGGTGGACCTAAGTTCACCCCCAGACATCCTTTGATACCACCACTAACTTTTATGTAAAAAAGCTTGTTACTTTGTGGCTTATGCTGGGTATTTCTACCATCCAGTCTTCTTCCTCAGCACTTTTAGGTTCTTACCCATCTTAGACCCCATGGTCTATTACTTCAGCCACTATTTTTGCTAATGTAATCAAATCTGTCCTGCTCTCTACATCTGTGAAGCTACTACCCTGTCCTTCTGACACTCTTATCTACCTCTTGGATTGACACAGTCATGGTATTTCACTTCTTAAAACCCTTCAAAAGTTCTCTGTGATCTTCAGAGTAATGTCTAAATTTATTAATGTGGTTTATGCAGTTTCTTTCTCACCTGGCTCCTGCCTTCCTTTTCAAATACATGTCATACCAACCCCCTTCCCACTCTTTATCTTTCAGCCATGATGAATTCCTTATAGTTCTACCATTTTACATTTTCTCTTGCCTACTGGCCTTTGCACACACTCACATCTGGAGTATGAAGGAACTGTGGAGAAATGATAAAGGCAACGGACTTGGAATCAGACCAACAAATTTGAGTCACAGCTCTGCCATTATCTAGCCTGGGACCCTGGGTCAGCTCCTTAATTTTATATACCTCCATAACCACATCTCCTATGGAGAAAGAATACCCACCTTGACAGAATTACTATGAGGATTAAATCAGATACTAAATGAACTCTGTACTAGGTACTCTCCTTCCATTCCTTCCTTCCTCTTTTCCCCATTTCTCCCTCAATCTCCATTCTACTTTTTCTTCTTTCCCTTTTGTCATCCCCTTTCCCTCTCTGCATTCCACTTAATATTTGGGTGGGATTTATAACATCCAGGGCTATAAGCATGCAATATAAGCCACTAGGACTGGACATCACAGGAGTCATCTTGTGCTGACCATTTGGTGTCCACATCTTTTGCTTTGCACAAGTAAAGCATCAGTACCAAGTCACCACTGCTCTTCCACCAGAAGCCCACAGCCTCATCTACCTCCCTGGCCACTGAGGCAGCCTGGCCTTTCTCATTTGGCCTTAGAAAGACACCAAGGTAGAACAAGATTTTGCAACAAATCCTATCATGTTATAAAGCTATTTGATCTCTTAACAATTTTCTGTATGTCGCTGTATCTGAAGCCAGTACCATTTTGTTTTCTTAGACCTCATCTCTCATACCCTCATTCTCACACCTTCTCCTGTATGCCTCTGTGCACCTTGGCTTCTTAGAGTGTCAAGCCACTACAAGTGAGCCTTTCGTTCTCTACTCACTGTACCACTGTTCCCCTCCCCCAAAACATCATTGTCCTTAAGGAACTTCCAAATAGAGCCTGATGGATAGGATGTATGAAGTAGTCAATTAAAAACCAAAAATTACTACAAAATGTGTGATCTGAACTGGCCTGGAACTATAAATGAAGGATCATGGAAAAGGCAGAGGTTGAAATGGGCTTTGTGGGATTAATGGGATTTGAAAAGACAGAAATGATAGCATTCCCTGCAGGAAAACGGTGTGAAGAGTTTGGATATCATAAAGCATGCCAGGGTGCAATGAGCCTGTGAAGTGGATTACTATAAAGAAGTGATGGGAACTATGACTGGAACGTTCTTCCTTTTCTCATATATGTGTCTCAGTGTTCATTTCTGGAGAATGAGCGTGCTAACTTAGAAAGATTGCTCATAAAGAATATTTTAAAGGAATATTTTCCAAAATTATTCTGTGGAAAATTAGTCTCATGGAATTCCCTGTAGAAAAATAATAATAATAACTTAGAGACATATTGAATATTCTTTTCTCATCCTTGAATATTCATAATGCATATTAGGTCATTAAAAGTTCTGAATTAGTCTTGTAATAAAGAAACCTGACTTTTCTGAAAAAAGCTAACCTCCCCCATTTATGTCTCTAAAACAACCCATTCTTTATTTCCCTTCAAGGCACTTTTTTAGTGTCCATAACTATAATGTCCAGTTGTTTTTAATTTCGAACTGCTTCCCCACTAACATACAGAACAGAGATATTGCCTATCTTATTTACCAGTTTATATCAAGAGTCTAGCATGATGCCTGGACACATAATGGGTACTCAGAAAAAGTGTTTGAATGAATGAATAAAATTTGTACATCTTACCAGAAGAACTAGATGGTGACTGGCTACCACCAATGACTGCCCTGACAGGGAACACAACAGAGCGTCCCAGACAGAGCAAGAGAAAAATGTAGAACGGAACTCAAATTCACATAAAAAAAACCAGACTTAATGGTCTGACAGAGACTGGAGGAACTCCTGAAACTGTGGCTCTTGGACGTACTGTTAACCTAGAACTGAAACCATTCCTGAAGCCTGTTCTTCAGACAAAGATTAGACCGGACGATAGAACAAAAAATAATACATGTGAGGAATGTGCTTCTTAGTTCAGTCAGATACACGAGACCAAATGGGTAGCTCTTGTCCAAACACAGGATTAGAAGGCAGAAAGAGATAGGAACTGGTTCAATGGATACAGGGAACCCCCCAGGGGTGGAAAGGGGGAGTGTGCTGTCACACTGTGGGGATTGCAACTAATGTCACAAAACAATATGTGTATAAATTTTTGTATGAGAAATTAACTTGAGCTGTAAACTTTCACCTAAAGCACAAGGGGAAAAAAAAACAGCTTGTACATCTTTGTTTAACTTTGCACTTTCCAAACAGTTGATAAAGTGTAGAGCTGGAAATTGAAGAAAGCGCTATCAGATTCCAATCTATGTTTTTAACCATAAGTGGTATATGCTGCCCTCCTTCTCCCTCTCCATCATCCAGGAGTCTTAGTGTTATAGTTTTTCTCCTGGGCATTTATTCTATTTATTATCTTTTAAAGCTTAAACGATTTTCTGATATGCCCAAATTTCTTTATATTTTTCAGGCAAAGGCTGCCACCTAAAAATGTTTACTACTATCGCTGCCCGGACCATAGGAAGAATTATGTGATGTCCTTTGCATTTTGTTTTGATCGAGAAGATGACATTTATCAGTTTGCTTACTGCTACCCATACACATACACTCGTTTCCAGCATTACCTTGACAGCCTGCAGAAGAGAAACATGGATTACTTCCTTCGAGAGCAGCTGGGCCAGAGCGTGGTAAGGCCTGCACTGGATGGGAATTTCATTCAGAATCAGGCAGCCTTGGGGTAGGGTCTTAGCAATGGGGTTTTTTTCTTACAGAGTGAAAATAATGAATGTTGACGCTTTATAGACTATATGCTCTGGGACTTCTAAAAATTCTTATTTTGTAATTCATTACTGTAATGGGCCCAGGAAGTTATAGGATAATATATGAGACAGAAGTTTGTCCTTCTTCTGAATGAAGCTGATAAAACTGTCTAATAAAATACAAAAGTTCTGATGAATCCCAAAAATTCTTAGAGAAAGAAAGGAAGCTTCTACTGGGTGTTACCAAAGGCATGAAAGCATTTTACAAGTGTGAGCCTCTGAGACAAAGAAAACACTTGTTTCTTAGTGAATCCAACTTGCCTGCAGTGAAGGTTAGCAAGTGGTCTGTAGTCTGTCTGTTATGATCTCACTGTGTTCTGTCTCAGTGCCATCCATCAGTTGCTGGTTCCTCTTCCCTGGCCTAGGTTTAGTTCCCTGGGTCTGGAGAATCCAGTCTTCCCTTATATATTAGTTTCCTGTTGCTGATATGAAAAATTACCACAAACTTGGTGGCTTAAAACAACACACACTTATTATCTACAGTTCTAGAGGTCAGGAGTGTGGAATCGGTCTCACTGGGCTAAAATCAAGGTGTCGATATGGCTGCATTCCTTCTGAAGGCTCTAGGGGACAGTCCATTCCCTTGCCTTTTCCAGCTTCTAGAGGCCGTCTGTATTCTGTGACTGGTGATTCCCTTCCATCTTCAAACAATGGCTGGTCGGGTTTTTTTCATGTGGCATCACACTGACACTGACTCTCCCACCTCCCTCTTTGCTGTATTTTTATGCAAATAATGTGCATGTTGTACATATTTGGCCAACTGCACAACCCCCTTGTGCATTATTTTCCTAGGTGTGCTATGCACATTATATGTGTGAGCATGTTATTTGCAAAAAAAAAAAGAAAATACGGTACTTCGCAGGACCCTTGGGATTATGTTGGACTCACACAGATAATCCAGTAATCCAGGATAATCTCCCCTATCACAAGATCCTTGACTTAATCAGATCTGCAATGTCCCCTTTGTCATGTAAGATAATATATTTACAGGTTCCAGGGGTAGGATATGGACATCTTTGATGTAGGAGGGCATTATTCTGCCTACTACACCTCCCTTCTCTTTTTTCCTCTCCCCCGTACCCAAACCAGGAATATGAAGTTATTCCTCACATTGAATGCAGGATATCATAAGTTTTTCTCTTGGTTTCTAGCAATACTTTGGTTGCTAGTAAAGAATAAGCAGATGATAAGAAGTGTGGATTCTTATCGCTCTTCAGGAAGTGTGGATTGTGCCTCTAAAATGAGCAGATTGAGCAGTCTCTAAATGTCCCAAGTAAGAATACTGACAGAATTGGCAGAAGATACTGTACTTGGGGGTGTGGTATGTGGTGATGGAGAAATGGACTCTGCCTAGTGAGTGTGAGTTCAACCTAGAAGTGGGCCCGGCTTCTAAATAAATGTTTTCACAGCTGGGCTATTTAGAAGACACTCAGTCTGGTCTGGGATACCCAAACAAAGAGAAATAAAGATGGCCTGGGCCTGGCTCAGATACCCGAGAGCCAAATCTGGTCTCAGAAGCTAGTGGTTGTGATCATATTCTTAAAGTCTGAGGTTCTGTATGCTCTAAGATTTTGTTAAAATCTTCCTTCTACTCTAATCCTCTTCCCAACAGTGCTTCTGGGAGGTGCCATGTGTATTTGGTGCCTGTATATTTTGAACTAAAAATTGGGACACATGGTGTATCAGTCAGCTTGCTAGCAGAAGACAGATGGCAGACTCAAATCAGGATAATTTGAAAAGGTTTAATAAATGGGCTATTTACAAGGTGTGGGCAGTGTGAAGGGAAGACACAAAGTATAGCGCAATTCCCTAGGGCTAGTAACAGCTCAAAGGGTGCGAAGGGAGGGAATGGTTACCAGAACTCAGAAGTAGGGAGTCATGTAGTGAGCCCCTTGAAAGGAACAGTGACCTTCAGTTGAGGAACACAGTTTGAGATGACCCCACAGGGAGGGAGCTGAGGATATAAATACATAGACCTCATTCTCTTGCTTCCCCCCTGATCTCCTGCTAGGTGTCCTATTGGCCAACCTAACTGGAAGCCAGAGGGTAAGGATGTAATTCATACCAATCTGCCTCCCAGAGCCAAGAATCGTATGGAGAAGGGCAGAGAGTAGATATAGAGGGGCAAATAGAACGTATCAAACAGATGCTGTGATCAACAGTATGTTACTGGGGACAGTGACATTATTTGAGATGTCAGAGGAAATTTTGAGGTGGATATCTTCCATAAATACGTGAGAAGTTCATTCAATACTTGTGACTTTTAAGGGCAGGATCTGGGCATTTCATTCTTGTGTCCACCCCAGCCTCCTCCTAGATTTATGCCAAAAAGAATATAGATTTGTATTGAATGTTTATTTAGTGAATGATTAAAGGAATGAAATTAATTAAGATATATCAGTGTGAAGAGCAGAGAGCAGCAGGAAGCTGATAGGAGGGGTAATAGGATAAGTAAGTTTGCCAATAATAGATATCCAAACAACAGATACCTAAAATAACTAACAACTTAAGCAAGGTAGAAGCTTATTTCTCTCTAATGTAAAAGTCTGTTGTTGTTAGTTACCATCAAGTCAGTTCTGACTCAGTGTGAGCCCCATGTGTACAGAGTAGAACTGCTCCATAGAGTTAAGTCAAGTACTTAAACGTTTGCACATTCAGGGACTGCCAGAAGGAAAAACTTCTACCAAACCAAAACCAAACCCACTGCCGTCGTGCTGATTCTCACTCATAGCGACCCTACAGAACAGAGTCGAATTGCCCCATAGGGTTTCCTGTTGGCGCAGTCGTTAAGAGCTCGGCTGCTAACCAAAAAGTCAGCAATTTCAATCCACCAGGTGCTCCTTTGAAACTCTATAGGGCAGTTCTACTCTGTCCTATAGGGTTGCTGTGAGTCAGAATCAACTTGACGACAATGGGTTTGGTTTTTTGTTTGGTTAATCTTTATGGAAGCAGACTGCCACATCTTTCTCCCTCGGAGCAGCTGGTGGGCTTGAACTGCTGACCTTTTGGTTAGCAGCCAAGTGCTTTAACCACTGCATCACCAGAGCTCCTTCCTAGAAAGATAACAGTCTAGAAGTAGGCGATCTACAGATGATATTGTGCCTCTCGTCCTCAAAAACATCAAGGATTTCTTCAGATTTGTGCTCTGTCATCCCTAAGGTGTGGCCCTGAATATCATGATCCAATATGGAATTCTACCATTACATTCATGTTCCAGGCAGCAGGTTGAAGGAAGTGGGGGAAAAAGGAGAAGAAGCAGTTATGTGGCACTTTCACTTGCATCCCATTTACTAGAACTCATGTTCATCCTTAACTATAGGAAGGATGGAAAATGAAGTCTTTATTCTGGGTGACTTTTTCCAGTTAAAAATTGGTAGTTCTATAGTTATGAAGAGGAGAATGGATACTTAGTCTCTGCCACAGGAAGACTGAATTCTGCTTCTCGCTCTGACACCAGACTACTTCTATGACCTTGAAAGCTATTTCACCTTTCTGGGGACAATTTCTTCGTCTATAAAGTGAGCAAACTGAGTTTGAATAGAGATTTTCAAATTATTCTTTGAGGAATTCCTCAGTTAGGGAAAAAAAATAATTTGAGACCCTGTCCTACTTCAGACCCTTTGAGAGGCACTGTGGGGATATATAAATAGGTAACACAAGTCTTTATGGACTTCCAGAAATATCTTCTTTACCAGAGGAAATACATCCAAATGGCTATAACATTTTTTAAAGTGTAAAATTAAGGATCTCATAAGTTGTTTAAAGAGTTAGTGGTGAGAAAAAGACCATGGAGGCGGTGGGCTTTAAATTTAGTCTTGAAAGATGGGTAGGATTACAATAGATGGAGTTGGGGAGAAGGTAGCCCAGAAAGCAGGAACGGCCTGAGCCATGTATAGTAATAGTTGGTTAGAAGACTGATTTGATTGGACTAGGAAACTCATGGGGAGTACTGAAAGGTTAGGATAGACAGGGAGACTGGAGTCAAATTATGGAAAGCCTTGGTTGTCATATACTCAGGAATTTTGGGTATATTCTTTATTTAGATTCAACAGACAGTGAGTCAGGCACGTTATATATACTATCTTGTTTATTCTTCACAAAAGTTTTATGGAGTAAGCAGGATTATCCCAGTTTGGAGGATAAGACTGAAAAAGAAATTTCCTTAAATCAAAACTACAATGAGATACCATCTTACCCCGACGTTACTGGCACTAATAAGAAAAAAAAAAACAGAAAATAACTAATGTTTCAGAGGCTTTGGGGAGATTGGAACTCTTGTGCACTGCTGGTGGGAATGCCAAATGGTACAACCATTTTTGAAAACGATATGGTGTTTCCTTAGAAAGCTAGAAATAGAAATATCATATGATCCAGAAATCCCACTCCTAGGAATACATCCTAGAGAAATAAGAGCCATCACACAAATAGACATATGCACACCCATGTTTATTGCAGCATTATTCAAAGCAAAAAGATAGAGACAACCTAAGGGCCAACAAATTATGGTAGATACACACAATGGAATACTACTCAATGATGAAGAACAATGATGGATCTGCAAAACATCTCACAACATGGATGAATCTGAAGGGCGTTATGTTGAGTGAAATAAGTCAATCACAAAAGGATAAATACTGTATGAGACCACTATTATAAAAAGTCATGAAAAGGTTTCCACACAGAAAGAAAAAAACCTCGATGGTTACGAGGGAGGGGAAGGTTGGGGAGGGAAGAACACTAACTGAACAACAGGTAAGTGATAACTTTGGTGAAGGGTAAGGCAGTACACAATACTGGGAAAGTCAGCACAATTTGGCCACAACAAAGTCAAAGAAGCTTCATAGACACATCCAGACTCACAGAGGGAC